TAGTCAATGAAGTTACTATCTAATTGCAAATTGCGATAGGATGCACAGGAGTGGGGTGGTGTGAGAAGGACAGGAGTTTGCTCAGACCTGGGCTGTCCTCAGGGACCACAGAGGATCCATTATTCAAACACAATTGAGAAATTGAACTATGAGCCCAAGACACTGAGCACACAGTGCAGTGAGGACACGGTGCAGTCAGCCCAAAGCAAGGTCTGACCTTTGTGCCCAGCTCCTGGGAGGGAATCCCTGACTTAAGCCCTTGCGACGTCCTTAAGCCTGGTAGAAGTATCTTTGTTCACCTGGGAGCCACAGGCCGTGCCGCACAGCCTGTGCCAGCAGTGTGACTTACAGCGCAGGCTGTGGGCCACGTGGCGTCACTTTGACTCTGGGTGGCTGGAGACTGAGGAGCCGAGGCCACTCACACAGCTGCTCCCTGCCTGTGTGGCTGACCTAACAAACCCTGGACGCTGAGGCTCGGGTGAGCTTCCCTGGCAATACTTCATGCGTGTGACTGTCACACGAAGGTGCTGAGAGAAGTGAGTGCCGTCCGAGCGACTCCGCTAGGAGAGGACAACGGGAAGCTCCGGGCTTGGTCTCCCCTAGACTCTGTCCCATGAGCCTCTTCCTGTCACTGATTTTGATCTGAATCCATTCACTGTATAAACTATCAGGGCCAGTCGTGGGGGCCACGACTACTTTTGGCCCCAGCTACTCGAGAGGCTGAGGCAGGAGGCTTGAGCCCACCAGTTCGAGGCTGCAGTGAGCTGTGATCGTACCACTGCACCCCAGCCTGGGCAACAAAGCAAGACCCTGTTGCTTAAAGTAAAATAAACTCTCACCATGAGTATAACAGCTTTCAGTGAGTACTCTGAGTCCTTCTTGTGAATTATCAAACCCAAGTTTCTCATGGGGGCCACCTAACTTGTAGTTGGTATAGTAAGTGACAGTGGTCTCGGGGACCCCCGAGCTTTCAAGTAGACAATGATTATTTTGAGGAGATCTCTCTGGCATCCTGTGTTGAGGAAGAGAGGCAGGAAGGAGAGGGAAGGGGAAGGTCAGGGGTCCGCAGAGAAATGAGGGGTGGGGTAGGGAGCGTCCACTGGAGCTCAGCACAGGCAGGTGATGCCTGGGTGGCCTCGGCTCTGTGGGGAAAGATGGGGACCAGTGGGGAGGGGAGCCCCCAGGTCACGGGACTGGGGGGCTGCATTGACGGGGACCCGGGAGACACAGCCTATCTGGGGCATGATGATCCTCCAAGTCACCATTGGAATGTGGCCTCCCCAGATGGGACCCTGGTGGACAGAGGGCTCGTCACTCACCTGGGAGACGGGACCCAGGGCGGAAGGTGCGTCCTTCCTGCAGGTCTTCGCCCTGAGGGAGGGGCCGGGACACTTCAGCCCCGCCGGCTCAGAGCCTGGGCGGACTGCTGCCCCTGCTCAACAGCGCCAGAAGGCTGCCAAGGCCGTGGAAGTGAGGACACATCTAACCAGGTGACTTCCACGATGGGAACAGGTGACCCCCAGGGTGGTGGGATCAGAGGTGGGAACAGACCCCTGCTCTGATCCTCTGGCCCAAGCCCCAATTCTCCCGACCCCTGCCCTGTCCAGATTCCTGCAGCCCGGCCTGCGGCCTGCGTGGGATTGGAGGACCCGCAGCCCTCCCCCGCCCTGCCCTGCCCGCCCTCCAGGGCCCACACTCACCTGAGGAAGGCCAGGCAGCAGCAGAGAGACAGCAGGGCAGTGACACCAGCCCCCACCACGGCCCCCAGCGCGAATCCTCCCCCAGGCTCTGGCTTCCCTGCAGACCAGGGGCGCAGGGTGATGGCCCTCCGAGCCCCGGGACCCTTGTGCCTCCTCCCCCCACGGAACTTGAGCTCTGGGGGTCTCCCTCCCCCAGCAGCCCCAGAGCAGGGCCTCTGCCCCCTCCCTGTCCCACCAGGTGGCCCGCCCCACCCCCATCCTGAGCTCCACCAGCCCAACCCCAGGCGAGCTCCTCCCTCCCGGGGCCTCAGCCCACGGGGCCCTGACCTGGGAGCAGCAAGACGCTGCCGCTCCGGGTCCGGTGGACATTCTGGGCCTCACAGCTGAGCCTGAAGCCAGAGCTGATCCCCCCTCGGAGGCTCAGGGAGCTGTTGGCCCAGGGCCTGGCTGAGCTGGGGGTGGCCGTGAAGGGGCCCTGGCTGCCATTCCCCTCCCGCAGCCCCTCCCCGAGCCGGCAGCGCAGGGAGGGGGCCGGCTGGGCTCGGGAGCAGCAGCTGCAGCGCAGCCCCTCGGCCTCCCAGGAGCAGGAGGGGCCCAGCAGCTGCGGGGGGTCTGTGGGGACAGAGGACAGGACTCAGCACAGGCAACCTTCCCGGGACCCAGGCGCCCCCTCCCCCACTCACAGTGCACAGAGAGGCTCAGAGAGAGGAGCCGGGAGCCCAGGGGGTGCTGGGCCGGGCAGGTGAATTCTCCTCCTTCTGCAGACACCCCTCGGGGCAGCTCCAGGATCCCAGTGCTGGAGATGGGGGTGGCGTTCAGGGCTGGGGACCCCTGGAACCAGCTCAGGTGAGCAGGGGGGTTGCCGTCAGCAGCACAGAGCAGCCGCAGAGCCTGGCCCTCCAGGACGGGGAGGGACGAGGTGTTTTGCAGGGCCCTGAGGGCTTTCGGGAGGGGTGCGCAGAGAGAGAAGGGGTTGGGGCGAGGGGCTGCTGTGCCTCCCTGCGGGGGCGTCTGCACTAGCTCTGAGGAGGGGCCTAGCAGAGTCCAGGCCTCAGGTCCTGGGAGCCCAGACCACTTTCCTAGCGCTGCCCAGGCTGCCCAGGGCGGACAGAGGGCCGGGGACGCAGACGAAGGTGCCTGGCAGAGAGAAGGTGAGGAGGGGCTGTGGCAGCTGCCCTTGGGTTTGGCCACAGAAGCCGCAGGGCAGTGAAAGACGAAGTTCAGGGTGAGGAAGTTGGCAGGGCCCTGCCCCTCGCTGTCCCCGAGTCTGACCTCAGACCTGCTTCCCGCGTACACCCCACTCCCGCCCGGTCAGCCGGAGCGCTGGGACCCAGCTCGGGCCTGTCCCAGCAGAGACCCCGCTTCCGCCCCAGCCCTGGAGGGGACAGGACAGGCTTGTTCCTACCTGTGCAGTTTCCTTGGAAGATGCTGACGGCCAGGTTCTGTGGAGCACCTGGGACAGAAAGATGTGGCAGCGTGGAGGTCCCTGGCCTTCCCCCCGGGAGCCATGGAGACGGGACAGGGGCCTTTCCTGCTCGGCTACCAGGCCCCACCTTTAAGCCTTCGCTTGGCCCTGGCCTGTTCCCCACCATGACCCACACCCTCAGGGTCCCTGGGTGTCCCCGCTCAGCTCTCACAGGACACGTTGAGGTGGATGGTCCTTCTGGTCACACCAGCCCCAGGCAGGGTCACCTGGCAGGTGAGGCTGGTGCCGTGGTCCTGGGGCTGAGGGATGAGGGT